TGGACAGCCATGCCACCACAGAAGAAGCCAGCAACCAAAGCTGAAATGGAAGTGGCTGGGCGAAACATGAGAAGGTCACTCCAAAAAAGCCTGAGCCAAAGACTCCAGAGGCCCCAAAGGCACCAGAGCCTGGCAAGGCTCCAGAGCCTGTGGCCAAGGCCAAGGCTGCCCCAAAAAGGCAAACCACAAGGGCTTGGGCAGATATGAAGTACTAGTTGAAAGCAACGCCTGCAAAACAGGCACAATTTGATAAGTGCCAGACAAACCAGGAGAAGCGGGAGTTCTACTATAATGTCTTCCTGCTGGACCCCAATGCCAACCAGAAATCTGTGCACAAGGAATGCCTGGAAAAGCAAACCACCACCAACACACAGGTGGTGGGATGGATGACAAAGTGGGAGATCGGGAAGTTGCAGGGAGCTCATGAGTTTGAGAGCCTGTGCAATCAGGCTGTGGAAGGCCTGGAAGAAAGGCCCCATGAGGTCAAAGCCTGGGCTGCCACTGGTATGAAACAATACCACATCACAAAGGATCTGGCCACCAAAATGAAGAAGGACAATGAAAGCCTGGTTGAGGCTCAAGCTTCAGTTGGTGACTTGCAGCAAGGCGACTTTGAGCATGTAGAGAGCTTTGCGCACAATGCCTGACAATGGCAGAATGGTGCTTGGTGGCCCACAGCAGCCTCAGCTCCCAGAAACACCACAGCCTGGAGTTACCCCTGAAGAGGCTTACAAGAAGGCTTACAAAGTCTTGAAGCAGGCCATCACATTGGGCAACAATGTGGACAAAATGAAGCTGCTCTCAGAAAGCCTGAAAAAGGCTTCAGACCAAGAGCAAGCCAAAGCCAGTTTGGTGGAAATTGGAAAATTGAACGCCAAGTTTGGCAGCAAAAAGGATGAATGGCTTGAAAAGGTTGCTGGCTTCCCACAGGCTTGGGAGGATGGCTCTGAGTCCACCGGTCCAAGGGTCACTGAATCCTTGGAAGCCTTGAAAAAGGAGCGCGACCAAGAGCAGAAAAGCCTGACAAAGGCTCTTGCACAACACAGGATGTGGGCAAAGAATGCGTCTGAGTGCGCAAAAAGCCGCTCTACACAGTTTTGACAGCCTGTGGAAAGGCTACCCATGGCCTAGAGAGCCAAACCCAGCGTTTGAAGAAAAAGCTGCTGCTAGCTGGGTTGGGAAGCTCAATGTTGTAATTGTGGGAATAGAGCCTGTGCCAGGCTAGCTGGGTTGTGGGTGTGATTTTTGTAAGATAAAACCAGTGGCAGCTTTTGTCGCTCAAAAAATGTTTGAGAAGAGGTTCTTTTGTGTCTTCATAGCCCCAAAAAGAAAATATGCAGAACATGGGGAGCCCCCGTAGGTTCCAAATCAAAAGAAAGAAGAGGATGCTTTTGGTGAGGAGCTGGTCGACCTCTATACTAGCAACAAGGTCTCAGCAAACAAAGCTTCCAACATTTTGAAGAAGGCCACGAAGGTTGGCTTGGAATTCAAGCAACCTTGGGCCAACCAGGAAATCCCTGCTATAGGCACAAAGCGAGATACTAATGCAGACAGGACAATGAAAAGGTTGCTCAATAAACATCAAGGATGGGGCAAGCTATATTGGGCAGAAATTCCTGTGATGAACCCAGTCTCAAAAGCCATTGACAACGCAAGCATGTTTCGCGCTCCCCAGTGGCACGGCACCACGCAAACGCAGTTTCCACCAAGGCCGCGCAAATCCGCATGGCACTGCGACATCACGGACGTAGTTCGCCACACGGTCTGCCCACACACAGAAGCAATCCTAGCACACGATACCGCCAATCATCCCGCTCACCAGCGACACGCCGCGTTTACGCCAGCATGTTTCGCGCTCCCCAGTGGCACGGCGCCCCGCAAACGCAGTTTCCACAAAGGCCGCCCAAATCCGCGCGGCACTGCGGCATCACGGACGTATTTCGCCACACGGTCTGCCCACACACTAGAAGCAAGCCTATCACATGATACCGCGCGATACCGCCATTCATCCCGCTCACCAGCGACACGCCGCGTTTACGCCAGCATGCTTCGCGCTCCCCAGTGGCACGGCGCCACGCAAACGTACTTCCCACCAAGGCTGTGCAAATCCGCATGGCACTGCGACATCACGGATGTAATTCGCCGCACGGTCTTCCCACACACTAGAAGCAATCCTATCACACGATACCGCCAATCATCCCGCTCACCAGCGACACGCCGCGTTTACGCCAGCATGTTTCGCGCTCCCCAGTGGCACGGCGCCACGCAAATGCACTGTCCACCAAGGCCGCGCAAATCCGCATGGCACTGCGACATCACGAACGTGGTTCGCCACACGGTCTGCCCACACACTAGAAGCAATCACATCACACTAGAAGCAAACACTTCTGAGTCCAGCTCCACAACGCTGTTTCCCGCACTACATTTGTACTACAAACTGCCCTCTTCTGAGTCCAGCTCCGAAAAGCTCTTTCCTGTACTACATTTGTACTACAAACTGGCCACTTCTGAGTCCAGCTCCGAAAAGCTCTCTCCCGTACTACATTTGTAGCGCTACAAACTGGCCACTTCTGAGTCCAGCTCTGAAAGCTCTGAAAAGCTCTCTCCCGCACTACACTTGTACTACAAGCTGGCCACTTCTGAGTCCAGCTCCGAAAAGCACCCAAACCGCGCTCTCACCTGCATTTCGCGCCCTCGACACGCACGATCTCCGCAGAGGCGCCGGACCGGGCCAAAACGCAATCTCACCTGCATTTCGCGCCCTCGACACGCACGATCTCCGCAGAGGGTTGCGCCGGACAGAGACAAAACGCACTCTCGCCTGCATTTCGCGCCACGAGACAAAACGCACTCTCGCCTGCATTTCGCGCCCTCGACACGCACGATCTCCGCAGAGGGTTGCGCCGGACAGAGACAAAAGGATTTTCGCCTGCATTTCGCGGACTCGACACGCACGATCTCCGCAGAGGGTTGCCCGCGACCGGGCCAAATCGCACTCTCGCCTGCATTTCGCGCACTCGACACGCACGATCTCCACAGAGGCTTGCGTTTCGTGGTGCTCCGGCAGTGCCGCCCCCGGCCTTAAGAGAGAAAGTAAAGAAGAGCGAGAGGTGAAGATGTGAGATCTAAATGTGAGGATGTGAAGATGAGCAGAGATGTAGATGTGAGGATGTGAAGATGAGCAGAGATGTAGATGTGTGAAGATGAACATGAGCAGAGATGTAGATGTGAGGATGTGAAGATGAGGAGAGATGTAGATGTGCAGATGAGCAGATGAGGAGAGATGTAGATGTGTAGATGAGCAGAGAT